TCTCTCTCTCTACTCTCTCTCTCTCTCTCTCTCTCTCTGCTCTCTTCGTCTCTCCTCGTCCCAATCGCACTCTGTGCCTCTCGCTCTCTCCCCCCCCCCCACTCTCTTCTCTCGTCTCCCGTGTCTCGTCTGCTTCCCTCCTCTGCTGCTCTCTCTGCCTCTCTCTTCCTCCTCCGCCTCTCTCATCCTCTCTCTCTCCTCTCGTCCGCCTCTCTCTCTCTCTCTCTCTCTATCTACTCACGTCTCCTCTCATCTCTCTCTCCTCTCTATCTCTCTCTCTCTCTCTCTTCTCTCTTCTTTTCTCTCTCTCTCTCTCATCTCTCTCTCTCTCTCTGCTTTCTTTCTCTCTCTCATCTCTCTCTCTCTTCTTGTGCTCATCACTATCTCACTCATCTCTCTTCTTTCTGTTCTCTCTCTCTCACTCTCTCTCTTCTTCTCTCTCTCTCTCTCTCTCGTCTCTCTCTCTCATCTCTCCGTCGCATCTCTCTCTCTTCTTCTTCTCTCCTCTCTCTCTCTTCTCTCTCTTTCCTTTTCCCTCTCTTTCTCTCTCTTTCTTTTTTTTTATCTATCTCTCTCTTTCTTTTCTCTCTCTCTCTTCTTTCTCTCTCTCTCTTTCTTTTCTCTCTCTTTCTTTTTCTCTCTCTTTCTTTTCTCTCTCTCTCTCTCTCTTTCTCTCTCTCTCTCTCTCTCTCTCTCTCCTCTCTCTCTCTCTCTCTCTCTCTCTCTCTCTCTCTCTCTCTCCCCGCCTCTCTCTCTCCCGCCTCTCTTTCTCTCTCTCTCTCCGCCTCTCTCTCTCTCTTTCTCCGCCTCTCTTTCTCCGCCTCTCTTTCTCCGCCTCTCTTTCTCCGCCTCTCTTTCTCCGCCTCTCTTTCTCCGCCTCTCTTTCTCCGCCTCCCTCTCTCTGCCTCCCTCTCTCTGCCTCCCTCTCTCTCTCTCTCTCTCTCTCTCTCTCTCTCTCTCTCTCTCTCTCTCTCTCTCTCTCTCTCTCTCTCTCTCTCTCTCTCTCTCTCTCTCTCTCTGCCTCTCTCTCTGCCTCTCTCTCTGCCTCTCTCTCTCTCTCTCTCTCTCTCTCTCTCTCTCTCTCTCTCTCTCTCTCTCTCTCTCTCTCTCTCTCTCTCTCTCTCTCTCTCTCTCTGCCTCTCTCTCTTTCTCTCTCTCTCTCTCTCTCTCTCTCTCTCTCTCTCTCCCTCTCTCTCCCTCTCTCTCTCTCTCTCTCTCTCTCTCTGCCTCTCTCTCTCTCTCTGCCTCTCTCTCTCTCTCTGCCTCTCTCTCTCTCTGCCTCTCTCTCTCTCTCTCTGCCTCTCTCTCTCTCTCTGCCTCTCTCTGTCTCTCTCTCTCTCTCTCTCTCTCTCTCTCTCTTTCTTTCTCTCTCTCTCTCTCTCTCTCTCTCTCTCTTTCTTTCTCTCTCTCTCTCTCTCTTTCTTTCTCTCTCTCTCTCTCTCTCTCTCTCTCTCTCTTTCTTTCTCTCTCTCTCTCTCTCTCTCTCTTTCTTTCTCTCTCTCTCTCTCTCTCTCTCTCTTTCTTTCTCTCTCTCTCTCTCTCTCTTTCTTTCTCTCTCTCTCTCTCTCTCTCTTTCTTTCTCTCTCTCTCTCTCTCTCTCTCTCTCTCTCTCTCTCTCTCTCTCTCTCTCTCTCTCTCTCTCTCTCTCTCTCTCTCTCTCTTTCTTTTTCTCTCTTTCTCTCTCTTTCTTTTTTTTTCTCTCTCTCTCTTTCTTTTTCTCTCTCTCTTTCTTTTTCTCTCTCTCTTTCTTTTTCTCTCTCTTTCTTTTTCTCTCTCTCTCTCTCTCTTTCTCTCTCTCTCCACCTCTTTCTCTCTCTCTCCCCCTCTCTCCCCCTCTCTCCCCCTCTCTCCCCCTCTCTCCCTCTCTCTCTCTCTCTCTCTCTCTCTCTCTCTCTTACTTTCTCATTCTCAGTGTAATCTCTTGTTATTGCAGTAAATTCCTTTACAGAATATGCTGTGAAGACGAGGAGTTGGAAAGTAGAAATGAAACTCTCATGTTCTTTCCTCCAGGAAATCACGTGCCCAGAGGTACTTTACGAAGACGTGGTTGAGGTGGGGGAGCGCATAGTTCCCAGGCAGGATGTGACAGTCGGGGAAGCCACTAACAATGGCTGGGGCATCGCACAGGGAACCACTGGGGAGGAGCTGGTGATTATGAAACCCCTGGACGAGGCGAAGCTACGAAAGGACCTGGGTCGGGTCCTCAGCAAAGGCATTAAGTCGCTGGCTGTAGTCCTGATTCATTCCTATATGTAAGAATGAGAGGATGTCTAGACCTATAAGGATTGTGTGATTTTCTGCTTTTTCATTTGCTCTCTGTCTCTTCTCTCTCCTCTGCCCATTCTCTGTCTGATGTATGTTTGGATATTGTTTGAAATAGTATTTGTAATACCCATTGCATACTCTTTTATTAACTTCTGTAATTCCTCCAGCACTCCTCCCTCCCTCCCCCAGTTTGCCTCCTGTTGCCTCTCAAGTCAAGCATGTTTTCTAACAGGTTCAAAGACCACGAGGAACGGGTAGGGGCCATTGCAAGGGAAATGGGATTCAGCCATGTGTCGCTCTCTTCTCTGGTCATCCCAATGGTGAAGGCTGTCCCCCGGGGCTTCACGGCTTCTTCCGACGCATATCTTACGCCCCACATCAAGGCTTATCTAAAGGCTTGTACTCCTATTTTTTGCTTTTTTAGTATTAGTTTTAAATTTTGCTTTTTCTTCTTTTTTTTTCAAAGGTTATTTGGCATATTTTTGGGGTTATTTTTGTATTCTAAGGATATTATATTATTATTTATATTATTGACCTTTATCCTGCTTAACAAATGCTGAAAAGCTGAACTCAAAGCCCTCCTCACAGAGGGCTTCTGTGTACACAGTAAACAGTTGGGTCATCTCAGAGTACATTGGAATGCAAGGGCATTGGGCTGAGTATTTTAAGCAATTGTCTCAGGCTCAGTTATGGGAGTTAGCACAGATGGTGATTCCAGTGCTAGACCTACCTGTTAGTGAAGAACCTCCTTCCCAGATAAAAGTTCAGGAGATAATGTTAAAGCTTGAGAGGTATTTGTGGTAACCCTGCAGCATTATTTAAAGTCTGGTGGTGAACACATTACATACTAGCTTGACTTGTGGCACTCTGGCACCATTTCCTGGGACCTGCTGAAGAGTGTGGTCATCCCTCTCTGGAAAGGGAATGGAGAGTGCAGCAACTAGGCAAGGCAAGGTGCTTACTCTTATCTTTCTGGGACACACCAAAGTGCACTCCTAGCACATAGACTGTATCTTTGCACTACAGATCATTGTAGAGTCTCTTTGGTCATGGGTGCTCACAGCCTACATCAACCTCTAGAGGGTTTTTGGCGTATTAGTCACTGTGGGAGATCCTTAGAATGGGAAATTCCAACCAGGATTTTTGGATTAATGCCCTGGGCAAAATCAAGATTTGTAACCATGTCTTAGCTTTAGATATCTTGGTAATACAGTGCATGTCTGAAAAACAGCAAATGGATATCCCTCTCTGTAGATGCCATAAATATGTTCGACAAGAGTATTTTGAGATGCCAGTGCCTATACATAAAAGTTCAAGCTTACCTTATCCAGGATCTTATCTTGATGCCTTTTGCAGTAGGTCCTGGTATTGGATCATATGCTACAGTTGGCAGCACCACTTGTCCAACAGCTAACAACTACACCAGTGTAGGCACCTAATACTTGCATAATCAAGTACTGCCATCTCAAGCTATATGGATACTTTGCTAAACTTCCTGAGGATGATTCCAGCCAACAAGATTTCTCCTGTAGAGACAACCCTGGATGGAGGAGGAGACCTGTGGGACAACCTAGGAAGTTGTGGCATAGGCAAATTGACATATCCATCATGAAGAGACAGAGAAGAGATAGGCTGAAAATGAAGGGTGGCAATATATCCTCCACAGCATTAGTCTCACTGATATACAGCAATTGGAAGTAGAGTTACGTAATAAATCTTGATCATTCTGGAATTGCATACAGTGGAATCAAAGAGTCCAAAATAGGAATTCTTTTGAGCTCTTTGACATTACTTTATCTAGGTTGTTATCCAAACTTTAACATTAGGTCCAGTGTACCCAAAACCTTCACACACACAATTAGGTCAGAATTGCTTATACTAGCATTCACTCACTGAGGAAAAAAATGCAAGGTGTGTGGAATGTATCTGAAAAGCACTGCTCGGAAGGATCTTGACTAACGTATAGATAGTCTTGTTCCTTTTGAGGCAGCTGACATGATAAAATCCCGTATGTGTATGGCAAGCATCTTTTAATCTGAGCAGTGGCAGTGGCCCAGCAAAAGTGGAGTACTTTTAATGGTTGACAAGTAACATTGGTCTTTTACAGGGAATAGAACATGTATGTTGTCCTTTAATAGAAGGAGAAACAATATAACACTACAGACAAATGGGTATACACATGTGCTTACTTTTCAAAAGAGTAAACTGTGCATATTGCTTGTTTTCCATGTTGATTTGTGATACAGATGCATGAAGGAGATTATGTTTATATTGATTGCAACACAAGGCAGAGAAGGTCCTTATTAATAAGCTGAATTTACCACCATTTGTTTTGAGATTGAGTTCAAGCCATCATAAAGACTAAAATAGAAAAGGCAACACGGTGAAATTTATTCTAGACCAAAATTGATATATTACTGATGAAAAATTAATAATGACTGGATAACCCTGTATTTCAGTTGCTTAGTGCAGCTCATTCTGCGACCTTGACTAAGAGCATATTTGAGTTGATAACTAAGCACGGGATAACTTTGGATGGAAATGGTGGCTATTTTTGAGTGTCTTGCTTCACCCCCGAGTTTGATATATGTTTGGCACCCTTCTATTGTGATGTCATCCTCTGTGCTCTGTTCCTTTCAGGATTTTCAGCCCCTCTTTGTGAGTTTAAAAAGAATTTGTAATGATGAGGAGAGAGTGTTAATGCAGAGTCTCAAAGAAGAGAGAGTTGAGCCAAG